AAGCCTCTCCCCCCCGAAGAGACGCCGCTTCTGGGCCACTGGTTTCTTCAATGGGTTGGTACTGAGCTTATGTTGACATACTGAAGTTGGAATTCCTGGCATATCTGCCGAAGTCCATGCAAATACATCATTGTTAGCTCGAAGAAAAGCTATTAGTTCTGCTCTCTCCTCCGGGTTCAATCTAGTTCCGATCTGCGTTTTTCGGCTCGGATCTCTGTCATCAACGAGCACTTCTTCAACATCTTCGATCGGAGCAGCTCTGGTTTCATCTTCCGGTCGATTATCTACGATCTCAACACCCATAACTTGTTGATTATCAGAAATTTGCTGGGGAATGGCTTCGGTTGTCTGAGCTTTGCCCTTCATGGGTTGTGTTACCGAGGTGATATAACAATGCCTGGCCACCTCCTGGTTTCCTCGTAGTGTTGCTATTCCCATGGGAGTTGGGAACTTCATACAGAGGTGAGACTGGGAAACCACAGCTCGGATTGCAGTCAGTGTGGGTCAGCCAATAACAATGTTGAAGGAGGACGCCATCTTGACTACAAGGAACCGGACCGACTGGGTCACATAGGTTCTACCCCTCCCAAAAGCCACATGGAGGGTAAGAATTCCTTCTACCGGAACAAGTTGGTTATTGAAACCATAGATAGGACCATCATACTTCTGCAACAATGCTGGATCTAGTCCCAGACTCTCGAAACAGTGGAAGTACATGATGTCTGGTGCACTCCCGGTGTCGACAAGGACACGTTGTACTTCACAGTTGTTAATCATGATAGAAGTGACCAAAGGATCATTGTGGGGTGTAACAACGGTATCGAGATCAGCAGATGTGAAAGTAATTGGTTGATTCTTCCATTCAGCATCGTCGATCTTCCTCTTCTGAGCTCGGTTTTGATGTTTAACCTCCCTAACATACAGCTTTCGCTGCTTAGAGCTCAGTCCACCTGCTTCGAGGCCTCTCGTAATCATATGTATGATTCTAGCTGGTGGTGGGAGTGGAGGTGGGGTTTGTTGATATCCCACACCTTGCCTATTTGGGGGATTGCGAGCTCCTTGAGGCTGCGGCCTCTGTTCTCTGACAAACCTCGACTGTTCAACTCGCTGTACATACTCATTCAGCATTCCCTTCTGAGCTAAACTTTCCAGTTCGGACTTTAAACTGTTACACTGCTCTGTAGTATGGCCGTGATCCTGGTGAAAATCACAATATCTGGTATGGTCTCGACTAGCAGCAGCAGTTCGCATTGGTCCAGGACGTCTCAAGTCCATCTTATTTTTGATCTGCATGAATATTTGTGACCTCGGCATATTAAATGGGGTCCAATTAACTAGAGGTTTACCTGCAGACTGTTGCTGGGGTGTTGAGTTCGGCTTTCCGAATCTCGGTGGGGAGGTCAACATCAGACCTCGGTTCTGCGCCATCCTCATCCTTTTCCGGCTCGGATTGTCGTCTCTCCATTCTGGGTTCCGGTTCTTAGAGAGGGGTGGGTTTTGTGCCAGGGCATACTCCTCAGCGGTTATAAACTTAAGAGACCGATCATTCACCTCGCTAAAGGTGGTGGCAGTATGTTTGATCAAACTGTCTCTGAACCTATCATGTTTGAGACCAGCAATTACAGCCGCAATGCCCACAGCTTGGTCAAAAGAACTAACCTCCAATACTGCATCATTGAATCTGCTCATGTAGTTCTTCAGAGACTCCCCGTCTCTCTGTTTAACCCTCATCAACTCAGAAGTAGTTTTCCTAATCAACCTTCTACTGGAAAACTTAGTGGCAAAGGCAGATGCCATTTCTGTATAAGAGCTGATCGACCTCGGAGGTAAACTGTAATACCAAGTTCGAGCATTACCTCACAGAGTAGAGGGGAAAATTTTGCACATCAGCCCGTCAGAGGCGTTCTGAGCTTGCATGCAAGAGTAAAAAGCGTGCAGGTGATCATCGGGATCCTTCGTCCCATCATAAATCCCCAATTGTGGTATTTTGAAGCCAGTAGGATAGGGTTCCAGCGTGATGTTGGTATTCAAGGGGTGAGGTATGAAATTAGCAGCATGGTGTAGGGGTGGGGTACCTCGGTGTTCAGCTACCAGCTTTTCTAAGCTATCAAGGCGACGGGTAACATCATCAGGGATGGGTTGTTGAGCGGGTGCTATGTGGGATTGACCTTGGGATTCACTAACAGCGGGAGTAGGTTGAACCGGTTAGGGGTTTTGTTGTGGAGCTGGGGGTTGTTGAGCAGGGTTTAGTAAATTAATGAGGGGATCACCAGGATTATTTCTAGCTAGAAGTTGAGCCAGTACCAACTGAAAAACACCAAACTATTGCTGCATGGCAGCAAGCTGAGCTGTCACCACGTCTTGGTTGGCCGTGGAAGTTGAATTGTGAGCTGAGGTATGGGGTTGGTTTTCATCTCCTCCTTCTGCATGATCAACAGGAGGGAATATGGTTGGGACCTGAGGTGGAAATTGAGGTGGGATCTGAGGTGGGATCAGAGGTGGAAGGTTGTTGGGAGGTTGACCTTGCCCATGAGGCAGAGATGAATTACCAGCTCGGATCGATCGAGTGTGAACCATGACGGAAGAGCAACTAAAGAGCTTTCAGTTCGATTCCCACAGACGGCGCCAATGTAATTGCACCAAACCAGAAGTCCTTCTCCAGTCCGCGCTTGCGCTCCGAGATAACCTGCAAAGCCCCGAGCTGGAACTCGGGGTAAACACTCCGATGCTTAAGTCAGCAATAATCGGGGCTACCTTTAAGGCGGGGATAAGAAAAGCTTAGGGTTGGTTTCAATTACCTTTTTGACGTGGCCCGGGGGGGTATTTATAGGATCCAATGAGGAACCCACGTGGCATGCCAA